CTGATGCAGGCGGCAGTGATTGTTGCATTGGCTGCGAGGCCTCACCCAGTCGTGAAGTGGCGGGGGCGGCGAGCGGCTAGTGCAGGCGTTCATGGCGGCGGGCGGATCTGACGTTGCGGTGAGGCAGGGCATCGTTGGCGGGGTCCGGCTCCTGGCTCTGCGCGGGTCGGCTGCCGTTGTAGCTCCGGTGGCAATGGTGGCTGGTTGGCATTAGGGCGACGTCCTTGGATGGCGCGGGTTGGTGGCGGTGCGTGCCAGCCGGATTTGGCGTTTTCTGGTAGGCGATGCGGCTTGGGGCACTGGCCCGGCGTGGCTGCTGCTTCGATTGTGGGCAGCGGCGACGAGGCCCTCTCGGAGCGTTTACCTGACAGACAGACAGCCACGAGTGGGCGCACACAAGCACCACTCCACCAGAGGGACGGAGAACTCCGGCGCTCGAGCTGCCACAGCAAGTAGCAGCGGCCGGCGGCCGATATGGCGTCCGCGGCAGGCGACGGGACGAGGCGGAAGACGGCGTGCGTCACCGGAGGGAACGGCTACATCGCGTCGGCGCTGGTCAAGACGCTGCTGGAGAAAGGGTACGCCGTGAAGACCACCGTCAGAAACCCCGGTAATTTAGATTGGTTCTTCACTTCTTCTCCTCAGTGTCGATCTGAGCTCGAGCCTGATCTGTCATGGTGCCAAGAATTTAGAGTGGTTTCATTAGTCTCGGAGGGTGACATGCACTGTGATCTGATCAACGGATTCCAGATGACATGGAGAAGAACTCGCATCTCAAGGATCTGCAGGCGCTCGGCCCCTTGGAGGTCCTCCGTGCAGACCTCGTCGAAGAGGGCAGCTTCGACGGCGCCGTCGCCGGCTGCGACTACGCCTTCCTCGTCGCCGCTCCGGTGAACCTCTACGCAGAGGACCCTGAGGTGAACGGCACCAACCACCACACTCACTGTCGTTTTGTCATCAGTTCGTCAAGTGCACCTGTACACGGCGCGCATTATTCAGGCTGTCGGCACACTGCTTTTTTAATTCGTCCCGCGATGGCAGAGAGACGTGATCGAGCCGGCCGTGCACGGAACCCTCAACGTGTTGAGGTCGTGCGTGAGAGCGGGCACGGTGAGGCGCGTGGTCCTGACATCGTCGGCGGCCGCCGTCTCCAGCCGGCCGCTGGAGGGCGACGGCCATGTCCTGGACGAGGATTCCTGGTCCGACGTCGAGTTTCTTAGATCGACAAAGACCGGTGCTTGGGTACGCGTTTTGAGTATTTTCAACAATCTGTTGAATCATTTCATTGACCGACGCAACAATGACGCTCACCGCCGTGCTCGCGCAGGCGTACCCTGTGTCCAAGGTGCTTCTGGAGAAGGCGGCGTGCGCGTTCGCGCTGGAGCATGGCATCAGCCTGGTCACTGTGTGCCCCGTCGTCACGGTGGGCGCGGCGCCCGCGGCGAAGGTCAACACCAGCGTGCCCGACATCCTCTCCCTGCTGTCCGGTGAGGCCTGAAATTAAACAACATGTCAGACTGGTACATGCGCGTTACATGGCGTGGGTGCGATGGTGTCAGGCGATGATGCGAGGATCAGCAAACTTGAGTTCATCGAGAGGGTGACCGGCGCGATCCCGATGGTCCACATCGACGACCTCTGCCGCGCCGAGCTGTTCCTCGCCGAGGAAAAGGCGGCGTCGGGGCGGTACAACTGCGGCAGCGTCAACACCACCGTCGTGGGGCTCGCCCGCTTCCTGGCGGCCAAGTACCCGCAATACAATGTCAAGACCGACCGGTACGTACGAACGCCTCGTCAAGATCTCTGTAGCCATGGCGAGCTCCGACGTTCGTGCATCGGGGATGCGTATGTAATGGTCGATTTGTTTGTTTGTTTCAGGTACGCCGGTCTCACCGAGAAGCCGAGAGTCTGCATTTCGTCGGCGAAGCTCGTCGGGGAAGGGTTTGAGTTCATGTATAAGACCCTGGACGAGATATACGACGACGTCGTCGAGTACGGTAGGGCCTTGGGAATCCTTCCGTGCTAGTATGATGGATGATCTTAGAATCAAACGACGCGCTTGCATGGAAAACAGGCTTAGCCTCCTTTTTTTTTACTGGATAATAAGCCTAGCCTCCTATAAAAGTATATGATGAAATGTGGGTGTTAGTTCATATGAAAAGGATTTGTAAAACATTATGGAAAGTGATATATGGAATTATGAAGGTTCTCTAGAATGCTTGCGATTTGCTCGTTACGTTCTCTGAACAATGGTTCGGATGAAAGACCGACACCGTCAGGATCCAAGAATATCAATGGTTCAGATGAAAGACCAATGCCGACTGGCCAAGAATGTCTGTTGGAGATACACCTCCACACACTTTCCGCTGAAGCACCGCCGGAGCGAAGATAGGACCAGAAATACTTTATTTTAACTATATAGGAGTTGCCGCCTGGCGAAGACACCAGAACTACCTAAAACAAGGATGGGATCCCGGGCGCGACTATGTATCTCTTGCTGCGACAGAGAGCACAATGTCACCTGCAGTACTCCATAATGGGCCGGCCCAGCGATCAAGAGGAGCACTGGCACCCTAGCCTTTTTTATTTAATTAATTTTATTTATATTTTTCAAATGGGAATTAATTTTCTATAAATTTTACAAATGTTCACCACACGTTCCAAAATGTTAACGCCGTGCTCAAAAGTGTTCCGCAACTTTTTAAGATTGGTAGAAAAATGATTGTGACAACTAAAAAATGTTCCTGCATTTCAAAAACAAAATGTGATTTTTTTTTCAAAATATGTATACAATGTATAAAAATGTTTGCATGATGCAAAAGAATATTTTCCACCATAAGAGAAAATGTTAATAGTATTTTAAACATATGTATGTGAGAACTTTAGAATTTTTCTATAAAATGTAAAGTAATGTTTGCATGGTATAATTGTTTTTCTTAGCATTCAAAAACTTAACGTGATATTAAAAAATATCGTCGTGTTTCAAAAAATGTTCCTTACTAATAAAACGTTTATAACAATGTAAAAAAGTACACATGGTTTAACAAAATAGTTTCATACCAATTAAGAAAATATTCAACGTGTACCTGAGAAAAGGTTTAACATTTATCAAAAAGATATCCAAAACATGTATTCACAAAAATATACATCATGTATTTTGAAAAATGTTCAACGTGTATAAAAATGTTCCACATGTATATAAAAATGTACAATGTGTTTTGAGAAAAGTAGACATGTGTTGAAGAAAACTAGGTAAAAGGAACAAAAGAAAAAGGAAAAGGAAACGGTTGAGAAGGATCGATCATTGACCTCTCGATTCTTCCCCAACGCCAACAGAGAAGGAATGTGGTTTCTCCTCCTGATTCCGTTAGCTCTGGTCATCACGACCTGCGTGGCCAATTCGCTTTTGATCGGCAGCGCCTCATGTAGACTTTGGAGATACTATAAGAGAAAACCGTATGGTCGTCTTCGGCATTCTTTTGTTGCTGCCATCGCACCGCTGGTCATCGATCACGACTTGCGTGGCGACCAAAGCAGCAGCCACCAACATCTGTGCATAAATGCACACACGTCCGTACTTGAGTTGCCTCTCAGCAGCCAGAGAAACAGAGCCCTGTGCTAGAGCTATTGCCAGGAGAAGAGAGCTCAGCTCGGTAGTGATCATCGGCGATATGGCGACGAGGAGGAAGACGGCGTGCGTCACCGGCGGCAGCGGGTACATCGCGTCGGCGCTGGTGAAGATGCTGCTGGAGAAGGGATACGCCGTCAAGACCACCGTCAGAAACCCCGGTAATTTGATTACGTCTTTGTTTGCCTCCGGTTAAGAATGAGGGGTTTGCTCTCTGAATGAACCCGACCATGGCGTTTTGGGTTGGCAGATGACGCGGAGAAGAACGCGCATCTCAAGGCCTTGGCAGCGCTCGGCTCCTTGGAGGTCTTCCGCGCCGATCTGAACGAGGAGGGCAGCTTCGACCACGCCGTCGCCGGCTGCGACTACGCCTTCCTCGTCGCCGCTCCGGTGAGCCTCATGCCAGAGAACCCTGAGGTGAGCGACAACCACCAAACTCACACACTCTTCCGGCTGTCATCACTGACTCACTCTCTGATCCCTGAAACTATCAACTGTCCAAATCGCGCACTGCCTCTAATTCAACTGGCGATCGCAGAAAGACGTGATCGAGCCGGCCGTCCACGGGACCCTGAACGTGATGAAGTCGTGCGTGAGAGCGGGGACGGTGAAGCGAGTGGTCCTCACATCGTCGGTGGCGGGGGTGTCCAGCCGGCCGCTGGAAGGCGACGGCCATGTCCTTGACGAGGAATCCTGGTCCGACGTGGAGTTCCTCAGATCAACAAAGACCGGTCCCTGGGTACACACACATATATATATATGCACTCTCGATCTGTTGAATCATTTCACTGAGAGATGAGACGGTGATGCATGCTCGCGTCGCGCAGGCGTACTCCGTCTCGAAGGTGCTTGTGGAGAAGGCGGCGATGGCGTTCGCGGAGGACAAGGGCATCAGCCTGGTCACCGTGTGCCCGGCCGTCACGGTGGGCGAGGCGCCGGCGGCGAACGACCTCACCAGCGTCAGCATCATCCTCTCCCTGCTGTCCGGGGATGATGCGTATGCCGGCGCCCTGGAGCACATCGAGAGGGCGACGGGCTCGATCCCGATTCTGCACATCGAGGACCTCTGCCGAGCGGAGATGTTCGTGGCCGAGGAGGAGGCCGCGTCGGGGCGGTACATCGTCTGCGGCCTCAACCCCACCGCCGTCGAGATTGCCCGCTTCTTGGCTGCCAACTACCCGCAGTACAAGGTCAATACAGATAGGTACGAATGGCGAGTTTGTTCTGAAGCTCGTCAATTGCCATTGCCAATGTATACGTAAGTGTTTTGTTTTGATTGCTTATCTTCAGGTTCAGAGATCTCCCTGAGAAGCCGAGAGTCTGCATTTCGTCGGCGAAGCTCGTCAAGGAAGGGTTTGAGTACAAGTACAAGAACCTGGACGGAATATATGGCAGCGTCGTCGAGTATGGAAGGGCCTTGGGAATCCTTCCCTACTAAGAAGTATGATCGATCTTAGAATCAGACGATGCGCTTGGAAGCAAAATAAGCCTTTTAGTCTCCTGAAGTACACAAATGATGAAATGTGGGTGTTCAGTTCATATGAAAAATGTATTATAAAATGTACTGTAGTACTTGTATGGAAAGTGATAGTTGTGTCTGATGAGAGCATGCTCAGTCATGGTGAAAAAAGCCATAGTCGTGCACGTAGATAAACCGCCATTAAAATCTCCCCCAACGCAGAAGAAGCCTTCTTGTTTTCCTCCTTTTCTCTCTCTCTCTCTTGATTTTTGAATTACTTTTTCCTCACCAGCTGACCTACTTTAGTGGCCAAAATCACTGTTTCAATCTCGTGGCCAAAGATTAGCATATGATTTGACCCATGTTTAAAAGTATAGCACAATCTGACCCTTTAGTGTACCGCCCTACACAGCAACGGTAGGGCTACCCGGACTAACGTCGGGGTCAACAGTGATAAATCCCAGTCAACGCTTGCTAACCATGCCGACATGGCAGATGGCAAAATGGCTACTGCTAAATGTGGTTGTGGTAGACCAGTTACCATATCGTCAGGGTCTTTGCCGGTATACCCCTCAAAGGGTAAAGGCGCGTTGGAGTTATGGGGTGGGTCACACACCCACGTGCTGCACCCTAGTCGAACAGGACGAACAGAGGAGGCTCCTCTCTCCTCTTCTTTAATCCCCTCAGACCCCCGCTTCAAACAATTCATCTTTTTTGTGAGTCTTGCCTCCCATGCCTAAGTAAAGTAAATCTCCTCAAAAAAAAATTGGTCGATTCTTCCTATTTTGTGTGCATTTTTTAGCAATATGTGATACCCTAATTATTGGTGAATATTGTTATTTCAGTCATGGTGAAAAAAGCCATAATCATGCACACATAGATAAACCGCCAATAAAATCCCCCACAATGCACAAGAAGGCTTCTTGTATTCCTCTCTTTCCCTCTCTTGAATTGCTTTTCCCTCACCTTTAGTGGCCAAAATCACTGTTTCAACCTCGTGACCAAAGATTAGCATATGATTTGACCCCTATTTGAAAGTATAGCACGATCTGACCCTCCGGTCTACCGCCCTACACGACAATGGTAGGCTACACGGGCTATTGCCGGGGTCAACGATGATAAATCCCAGTCAACGCTTGCTGACCATACCAGCATGGCAAATGGTAAAATGGCTACCGCTAAATGTGGCGGTGGTAGACCATTTACCCTACCGTCAGGGTCTTGGCGGTATACCCCTCAAAGGGTAAAGGCACGTTGGAGTCATGCGGTGGGTCACCCACCCACGTGCTGCACCCTAGTCGAATAGGACGAACAGAGGAGGCTCCTCTCTCCTCTTCTTTAGGGCCAGTTTGGTTGGCGTCCACACCGCTACGTGCCTGGCATGGATGGTGCCTGGAGTTAGCCTCGTAGTTGTTTGGTTTGTGTCGTGAGAAAAAAATGTTTTCTTGGCCTGGCTACCCCTCCCTTGTGATTAGCCTGGTGAAGTAAATAAAATAGGATCCTTAGCCAAGGCAAGGTTATTAGCCTGGCCGAGGCGAGTGGAACTGGACGCCTGGACGGCTGCCTGATATGCAAATTTGTGATTCTGTCCAAACAGCAGAAGGTAAATATGATGTGACATATTCTAATACTCTAACCAGGCATGGCACAAACCAAACAATGCTAGCCTGGCCAGGCAAAAAGGTAGCACATTCCCAGGCCAGTTCCAGGCACTCATTTTTCTTAGGCACATTGTGGTGGATACGAACCAAACACACTCTTAATCCCCCTCAGCCCCCTCAAACAATTCATCTTTTTTTGTGAATCTTGCTTCCCATGCCTAAGTAAAGTAAATCTCCTCCAATTTTTTAGTTGATTCTTCCTATTTTGTGTGCATTTTCTAGCAATACGTGATGCCCTAATTATTGGTGAATATTGTTATTTCAGTCATGGTGAAAAAAGTCGTAATCGTGCACACATAGATAAACCGCCATTAAAATCCCCCACAATGCATAAGAAGGCTTCTTGTTTTCCTCTCTTTCCCTCTCTTGAATTGCTTTTCCCTCACCTTTAGTAGCCAAAATCATTGTTTCAACCCCGTGACCAATTATTTGGGCTGGAGGTGAGGATGGATGGTCGGCGCTCGGCGGGTGGCCTGGTGGGGCCTGGTAGCGGTGGGGTGGTCCGTTTCTAGTGGCGGTTACTGAAGGCGACGGCGAGTCCCACGAGCAGGCTGGTGGCGGTGCTTCGATGGCTCGGCCAAGATGGAGTCTTGGCGAGCAGCGAGCGGCTGGTCAATCCTGCGCGGCGTGGCGAGCGGTGTTGCTCTTCTGCTAGTGTCGCCTGGGTTCTTCCGTGGAGAGGCATGTTCAGTTAGATGCATGGCTGTCCCTTGGTGGGTGACAACTTTTGCGGGCGTCCGGGACCTGGCTGGAGGAGCTGGTTGGCTGCGGGTCCTCGCACAGGTTGGGAGTTGGTGGTGTGGCTGTGGTTACCCTACCGGGCGGGCTGTCGTTGGTCCTCGGCTTTGCAGCTACGTCGGCAAGTGCTGCGGTGGCGGCGGTGTGAGATTTTCTTGGACAGTTCCTTCAATTCCATGGAGGTGTGGAGATGGGCTACACGCAGATGAAAATCTTGCACGGCGTCTGCCGGGCCAGCGATGATGGCACCCGCGTATGTCATTCTTCACCTTGGAGGCATTGTCGAGCGTGTTCACCTTTCCCCTCGCGCCCTTGGAATTGGTGGGTGTCTTCGGGCGAAAGCCTCGATTCGGCTCTTGGATCGGCACAATGGCGGCGTCCTCGACGTCGCTCCTCTGTTGGGAGCATTTTGTTTGGAGACATGCTGGCTCCTTGTTACTCTCGTTCGGTGTTCGCCGCTGTCCTCGGTTGATCCTCCGTGGCGCAATGTACGCTCGTCGTCAGTATGTCCAACATGGTGGCTTCCCGAAGCAGATCGAGTCCTGCCATCCATCTGCCACTTTCTCTTAGGCGCTTCGGGTGGATGGTGCATCGGCAAGTGAAGTTCTGCGGCAGTTGGTGGTCTTGGAGTTTTCCGGCGTCGGTCGAGACGCGGTTCTGTGCATCACTCCGGGATAGGCTCTTTTGCGTTGTAACTTGCTTAGTGTGGTGTTTGTCCTTGGTCGTGTCGGGTGTGGTGTTTGTGTTGCATTCGTTGTTCGCATTGAGTGATAGCTTTCTTGTAACTATTACTCTACCTTCTATAAAGCTATGGTACGCCTAGGCATACTCTCAAAAAAAATTATGAACGTTCTCTGAATAATGGTTGTGTCTGATGAGAGCATGCTCAGTCATTGTGAAAAAATCCGTAATCGTGCACACGTAGATAAAACCGCAATTGAAAATCTCCCACAGTGTAGAAGAAGGCATCTTGTTTTTCTATCTTTCTCTCTCTTGAGTTACTTTTCCCTCACCTTTAGTGGCCAAAATCACTGTTTCGATCCCGTGGCCAACGTTTAGCATATGATTTGTCCCATGTTTAAAAGTATAGTTTTGATCCGACTGTGACACCCGGATAATTAAGCTACAATAACCCTCTATAAATGTTGACACATTATCTCGATTACTGTTGCTAATCTTGCTTTAGTTCAAAACCGATTCAAATTCAAATTCAAAATCAAGCAAATAATAATTTTTTAAATATTAAAACTAAAATGTTCGGAGTGAGCCAAATAAATCCTAACTAATAATGGTGGAGAAACCAAAAATTTTATAAGTATCTGAATGCACTAAAATAAATAAAACAGTGGTTGAAACAATAACTTAATTTTTTATTTTTATTAATAAATAATACAAGTACTTTACTTTTGTCCCAAACTTTTTGTGAGAACAATCGATTTTACAAATCAAATTTAGGAGTGGGTTTCACTTTTTGTAAAACTATAAACTATCAAATAAGTAAAAGAAAACAAAGACAAGAAAATAATACGAAAAGAAATTAGAAAATAGAAAAGAGTAAAAAGAAAAACAAATAAAAGGGAAACCCCCTGCTCTCTCTGGGCCCTGGCCTAGATGTCCAACGGCCCAGCCAACCACGGCCCACTCCCTGCACCCCTGGCCTACAAGGCCTCTCACACCCCACACGAAACCCTAATCCACACCCCCACTCCCCCCACTCGTTCGCTCTCCCCTCCTCCCCCCTCCCGATCTAGTTCTGGATCGGGATCGAGCCCGGCGGCCACCGCGCCACTCGGCGTCACTGGGCCCCGCCGTCGCCGGTGCACCACCACCACCCGGACCTTGTCGCCTTCTCCCTTGCGTCGTCGTCGTCCCCGACATCCTCCCCGCGCCCCACTGCCTTATTCCTACGTCCCTCGTGAGCTTCCCCCACTCTCCCTCGCGCGCTCGTCGGCTCGCGCCGCCCGCACCCCGCCCCGTCTCGTTGTGCTGCCAATCGCGGTCGTGCTCGCCGCACGACCTGCCTATTCGCGCACCTGGACCACCCCGCACCCACAGCTCCGCTCGCCGGGTTGTCGCTGCTGCCCTCGCACCTCACCGCGCAGCTTCCTGCCTCGCCCGCAACCGCTGCTGGCCCCTCCGCACGCGCTCGCGCAGGCCTGCGTGCCTCCGCTCGCCGACCACGCCTCCATCCCAGTCTCCGCGCGCGCCTTGCCTCGCCGTTGCCGCGTCGCTTGCCGTGGCCCCGATCGCGCCCTCCTGCTGCAGCTCACGCATGCCCGCGCCTTCACCTCCCCTTGCCCCTGCTCCCTGTCCTCGCTACGTTACCCATAGCTCGCGCGCGCCGTCCAATGCGGCCCTCCACTCTCACGCTGAGCTCCGGCCGCCCCCGAGCCCTGCTGCTTGCTGCGCCCTGCTACCGCCGCCTGGTTCCGCTCTGCCCCGCTACCGCCGCCTGGTCTGCTCGTTGCCGCCAGGTCCGGTTCCCGTCTCTGGCCGCGTCCTTGGCCGCCCCCTCCTTCCCGCCTCTTCCACCGCCGCCTCGCGCCGGCGCTGCTGCGCTGCGGCCTCGATCTGCTGCCG